GTTATTAATAGTGTTATTATGATTCATGTATTATGCTAAATTTGGCCATAAACAAACAATATACAATCACGATTTCAGGTAACACTTAATAATTTAGCTGGGTGACCTTGTATTGAAATAAATACTTCGGAGGGCTTAGTGGCTACTGAAATATATATTATTAGATTTCGCTGGAGCTAACAGGTTGATCGTGACATGACTTCGAGTCATTGGGACTCTCTTTAATTTTTTCAGAAAACAATTAAAATATATATTTTTTTTTTTTTTGTAAATTTTTATATTTTTGTTCAACCCATGAATTAAAAAAAAAGAGTAATAACAATTAATAAAGACAGTATATAGTAATGAATCATTGATAATGATGTACAGAATGGGCCACGGGAGTAGGGCCAAAAATAGACGGGGTTTTTCTACATTTAATGAGAATGAAAAGTTCTAAATAAACTCATTTGATTCGTCTGATAATTCCGTGTTCTTGTCACTATAGTGCAGCGGAGCTTAAGTAACTTTTGGGTGCATTTTTTCAAAAATGTAAATCATCGGTCCTTATTCTTACAAGGAACAAGAAAATAATGTGACTCTCAATAGTGCCCGTTACATGAACTAACTTAACTTCTTGAAACCAGAGTTGCGTAGATGAAACAAACTATCAATCCGTTGAATGTTTGGTTTTCACAAGATGGGGCACCACCCACATTGCCACCGCCAAAAAAAATGACATACATTAAATTTCCTCAGTCACTGTATCTCACGTTTTGGGGATGTGCATTGGCTTCCTAGGTTTTATGACTTAATGGTAAAATTTTTTCCTTTGGGGATCTTAAGTTACGTATTTTTTAACCAAAACCTCGTACTTTGGATGACCTTAAGGATACAATTAGAGCGGAAATTTCAATAATTAATGAAGAATTGCTTCAGCGCGTTCATTAAATTTTTTGAATCGACTTGCTTCATGGTACAAAGAATATGATTATCGTGTGCCAGATAATATTAAATAAATAAAAAAAAAAAATTAAATGCCACTTATTTATACATAGTATAATATAAATAAAATGTTTGTATGTCTAAAATATACTGAGTTATCTTTATTTATTTTTGTCCCAATTTCCATGGTTCATCCTATATATTAATAAAAAACTAAAAAACGAAATTATTTTTTATTTTATTTTTATTGTAATGTACGCCATTCGGCATTTAAACAATGTAATCATACTCGTATAAATTAAGATCTAACATAAATTATATAACAAAAATGAGGCGTATAACAATTGGTTTAAACTACATATAAAATTAACGTTAAGATAAATGTAATTATTTCTCTTAATAATTATCTCTGAATCAGTTACTGCTCTTAAAATAAAATTCGATCTTCTAGATGGTTGAACTTTCGGTTCAGTCTAATTAAAATATTTAGTTTCATTAGATTTACCTATGACTATTATAACTGTTACGTAATTGTTAATAAGTTCAATAAATAGTTTAGATGTTGAATAAAACGATGAAAATTTTTCAGCGTTCAAAATTTTGTATTTCCTGCTAAGTTAGAAACTATCCTTTCAATATCTAAACGAAAAGTGCTAATGTAAGTTTATAATGTAAACAAGTTAATAATTTTATATATTTTTTAATACCTATTTAAACTGAGAAAGTTTTAAAATATTAGAAGAAGTTTTGAAAACGCATATTTACTTATAGATTTATTGATAAATAAAATATGAATATTTAAAATTTCAAAAGGAAAATTGCTTTTTGCGTCCATTCCACGAGAAAGTATATATATAGTCGAATACAAATGAATGATAAGTTTGAATACCATAGGTGAATCTACTGAGTGTGCCAGGTGTGCCAAGGCACACCCTGTGACTCGTGTAAACTTATGTAGGGCCCATAATACTCATTTCAGTTACAACGGTATTGAGTCTACACATTAAACAATTTATAAACCAATCGGAACATGTTTACGTACTGTCTACAAATGGTTAGATTTGTTGGCCGTTTCAAACCGACAAAATATATTTAACAGTTTCAAGTATTATCAATGTTTGTAGTGATACCCGTAAATAACTATTTTTAAATCTAAGTTAAGGTCCACTATGTCTCAAGATTGCTTAGAATCTCTCCTATTTTTATTTGTGGAGCAGGAATTAACTAACTCAGTGGACATAAATAATGTAATTAAAGAATTCAAAGTTATCACTACTAACTAAAGAATATTAATTTTATAAAATATTTAACATATAGTCAATGATTACTACCAGTTATATTATATATTTAATACAATTGTTTGTTATTAATGATAATAAAATTAAGATATTATATTAAACTTGCAAGAATTTTAAACATAATTGATTAACAATTTAATTTTAGGTTATAAGTGTGTCCAAAAATAATTGAGTACATACATTGAACTTTATAATAGTTGTAGTTTATAAAAATGAATAATTTTTAAGCATTATATGTGTATTTTGCAGCATGAAATATAGCATCTAAACTGATAAAAATTAATCTTAATATTCTTATTTCAAATGGGAAACATCTCTTAAACGTATGATAATTGAGAGGTATTTTGAACTACAGAGGGCCTCTTCGAGATAAAGGCACACCCTGCGATGAATTCCTAGATTCGCCTATGGTGGATACATTTAGGATATATTTTTGTGTAGATGTCATAGAAGTCTGATAAATCTAAATTTGCAAAAAGTTATATTATGCTAAAAATATACAGTTGACAATAATATAATATATGTATTTAATTATGATTATTTTAATCCATGTTTGATATTTTGTTTATCGTTATACGAAAAAAAATATAAAGAATTAAAAATAATAATATACTATAGTTGGAACTCTTTCGAGAACTACAGCATTAAGTCAGCCCGAGGGAGATAATGTTATTTTATGTATCGTTTGATGTGTAAAATTATCAAACGTATAAAATTATTTGTTTTAGCGTGTTGAGAAGGTCTAAACATAACACAACTTTCGGATCCAATTTTATGGATTATAATTTCCGGTAACGCCTAACTTAATATGATATTTGTTTTACGATATACATATTAATCATTATATTATTAATTATTCATTATTTATAATTAGTGCTAGTATTTTTAATCAAATACTCCTTTTTTTTATACATGGGATAGAAATCTAATTTTTATTCGTAAATTCATTTCATATTATTCTAACCAATTTGTTGGTGTATGCTTTTTTTATTGCTTTTCAGTTATTTCTGGTTTGGAATTTTTATATATTTATTTTTCTATAGTGATAAAAAAAAAAATTATAATTAAACTAATAACAAATGCGAAAACCCGTATTATGGATTAAATATTTGTATTGGATTATAATAATTATAATTGTTTTGTTCGTCATGTGATCTGAATTCATTAAAATGCCGTAGTAATTTAGCTCTATCAGTTTCATTGATGATTTCAAAACACTTAAGATGCGAACATTTGCAGTCTTTTCCCGCTTCATGTGAACTTAAGTTAATTTTCTTACCTACATCGGATAATCGTCCAGTTATTTTTTTTTTCTGGATTTCATACGTAAATCATCCTCAGCCTGGTCTGAAGATATTGACATAATAAATAAATAATTTTAATAGAAATATACCAAACATCTAAAAAAAAAACAGTAAAAAAGACACAACTTTAGAATGGAGTAATATTTTTCACTATTCACGATGTGAAAACATGAATGCGCTCTTATACTATTTGCAATAATCATCATAATAGTAATGGTATTGTCAAACAGCAGTTCATATAAATTTAAAGACACATTAAATGTGTACAGATAAATTTTAGTTTAATGTAAAATGAGCTAAACCAATATAATATCACGAGTATCTAAATGGGTTTTTGTAACTAAAATTAATATATAATTTAATCATCGAATTAAATTAAACACATCTCTGGTTCTTTTCCTGTATGAAATGACTTGCCTAGTTTTTTTCCTGTATGCCAAAATTTCCGGCGGTCATAACTCTCGACTAATCTGTTTTTTTTTCCAGATTTGACTGCTTGAAAGATAAAATACGTCAATACAAATAATTTGATACGAAATCGCTATTTTGGCAAAAAAAAAGTGACTTTTCTGGTATTTTCCTTGTACCCTTCAATTGTTGTTATCAGTTTGATTGTTAAATGTATTAAATGTATAGATTATTGATATACAGACAATTATAACTACATCGTTGACAAAATGTATAAATATTGTCTTAGATTCAGAAAATAAGGTAAATTAAGATAATGCAAATATTGTAACTAAAATTTTGGGTAAGCTAAATTGTGTTCTTTTAAAAAACAAAGGCTGAAAACAATTAGTGGACAATACGAGTAATAATATATACTGAATGGTATAATTTCATGGTAATTTCAATCGAAATTAATTATCATGGGTTTGATTTAAACAAAACCTCTTGTATGAAGTATGCATCGATAACTACAATGGATGTAGAGCGTTCGTTTTCTATGTATAAAAATATTCTGTCAGACAATAGAGTCAGTTTCACTACTGCAAATCTTGCAAAATACATGGTAGTTAATTACTATTTACTTTAAATGAATTTTTCAATTTTTTTATTTCAGTCTTTAAAGTAATTCATATTAATTTTTAGTCATGCTTTTTAAAATGCCTTTTTTAAAAAATAAATATGCTTCATTTTTACTTTTTTAAAGCAATTTTGTGCTTTTTTTGTTATTTATTATGCTTTAAAATCCCAACCCTGTTCAAAGAACTATTAATTTTTGTGTCGCAAACTTCCTTGGACCAAGATTCAAGGTCAACTGCTAAGGAAGTCCAAAGTCAATTGTCATGATATTCCGAGGTCGACTGCTACCACGTACTACTAATGGCATAATATACGTTTCGGTATTTAATTTTGATCTGTATTTTGACCTTTAGGATACCGGCAACGCCCTTTTCGAGTAGGGATATACACTCAACGTTGTGGTTGGATTTACTGAAGATTTAGCAGCATATATAAAGACCGATGCGTCCGAAATTTGTATCACACATTCCAAGTACACACATCGACGCAGGTTGAAGTTTGCAGATACGAAGTTTAGAACACAAGAAGAAAACACCAAAACGAAATGGCTTCTTTCAAGTATCTGGTGAGTAACTTTAAACTCATAGTCATTATTTATTCCATTGCTATATTGTCATTTTCTTCTCAACTTCTCGATAAATTATCAATGTTCCGTTCTTTACTGTAATTTTTCAGTCAACCACATTATTCACGTTTCAGTCGAGTATTTTAATGCATTTAAATAACGTTATGTGAGTCATAGGAACAATTTTTTAATAATATTTATATTATTAGTTTATTATACTAAATAATTTCTTAAAATTATTAAGCGTACTTTCAAAGTATTATTTTGTAAATTTTGATAATTGATTATTTTTTATTTTTAAACATTGTGTTATAATGAAAAATTGTATAATGCAAAATAACTTATATTACATACAATAAGCAACTAACATTGCATAAATTTCCGGGCAGATACGCTGTATATATACTCGGTATTATGAAGATTTATTAGTTGATTTTAATAATATTTTGATTGTTTTGTTTTATATGTAATTGGTTTGTGGTTCGAGTTATGATATTATTTTGATGAACAATCACTTAGAATAATGGACACTGTAAATAATAAAAATATTATCTTTTTAATCTCAGGGTTCTAGATAAGACATTATTTTATACTCAGCATGGGTAATTATGAAACGGTAGTGTTCTTAAAAGTTAAGTTTTCGGAAATTTAAAGTCACTCCAAAGGTTTTATTATAAGTGTTTAATATTTTTCAAATCGATTCTAGGCACATGTTTACTGAAACATTTAGAAAATACTTAATTTATAAAAACACCATGTTCTGATTAGTATTAAATATTCACCTGTGGCGTAAATTTCAAATTATAATTTATAGTATTACAGCAATAATATATTACCATAATATCTTATCTTTACATTGGTTTTCTTTTAAAGATATTCTTCGCCTTGGCTGTGTACTCTGTGTCTGCTGTTGAGCAAAACCCTACTGTCGAAGGAGCAAGAGTAAAGAAACACGCTTACCTCGCTCCAGCTCGTAAGTATTATATTAAAAAATATACCTATAACATTATGAATTGTAAAATTCGGATGTAATAAGATTTTTTTAAATTTTTTTTTTTTGAGACAATTTTTTTGAAAATCAATTTTATTAAAAGCATACATGAAAAAATGGATTTTTTGTATTTGCAGCGATTTTAGCCTATTCTGCCCCAGCCCCAGTATCTTACTCATACGCGACGTACTCTGCTTATCCGTCTATCTACTCGTATAAATATCCAGCGTATCCTGCCGCAACATCTTACTCTTCTTTCACGAAGTATCCAGCATACTCCGGCTACGCTGCCTATCCTAGCTACGCCGCCTACCCAAAGTACGCTCATGATGATGGAAAATACTTTCCTGGGAAATACGAAAAGGCTTACTACCCAATCTACAAGAGCGCCTACCCAGTCGCATACCACTACTAAAAACTCACTTAACGATTATTAATCCCTTGTCAATATATGCCTACTATTAGTTTTTTAATACAGTTTTTAATAATAAAAACGTCATTTTTTTTCGACAGTATATAGTTTTATTTTTATTTTTATTCTTCTTATATGATGATGTCCTTAATTATAATATATTTTTCAAGCTATATATCCTGGCTACCCTAATTAAACATGTTTATAGTTATATTTAGTATGTAGTATATATTTGTTGAAGACATTTTTTAAGGTACCTACCTGTATACCGTAGAGTGTAGAGCAAAGTATATGTCAGTTGGATATATCTAGTTAGATCAGTCTATCTAGAGTGTTCATTAGAAGGGTGTTTATTTACATTATGAAAGAAATTGTTCTAAATACAGTAGTTATGTAGAGCGTATAGAGTTTATCTACATAGATCATTCTATAACTCATACACATTTTTAGATGATATTTATCTCGTTCAGAGAACATTACAGCGAAAAGGTATAATTGATTCATGAAAAATTTTCATTGCATATGCACCGTGAAGTTAAAAAAAAATAATAATAAAAACTTTAAAAAGTAAAAAGATTGAGATTGAGTAGTTGGTTATCAAAAACGATCACCAAAGTGATTGGAAGGAATTACACTTAAATTTATAAAAAAAAATCAAACTCATCTTTGAAAAGTGATTTCACCTTCAACATTACTTACATTAACGTTGAGATTTCTAGCCTCAGGTAAATGGTTTATTATTTTTAAAAAAAATTAGGAGATTTTTCTTGGTTTACATGGTTTACTTGGTTATTCATTTGGCACCAAAAATAGTGTAACTTTATTCCAAATTTTAGTTTTCTTCACCTGTTTATATACAAAATACCAAGTATACCAAATTATATTAAATTATTTTTAATTATTATATATAGAATTATGATTTTTTGTTTAAAACACGATCGGGTATTTAGTGGAATAATGGGCTTTCCTAATTTGTTTAGTACAATATGTTGCTACTGTTCAGTATTACATTTACAACAATACAAGGATAGTAGATGACATGCAACACCAGTACTCATTTATTATATCGATTGATAAAAGTCATAATGAAGTCATAATGATCATGTGCATTTTTTAAAAGCCGTAACCATTGTAAAATATAGTGGTCACAATATTATGTGGAAAGTCATTTTTCGTTTAACATTGAATTTTGAGTAATGCACGGCATTATTATAATTATTTTGAAGACTATGAATCAACATTCCAATATATCATTAGGATTATTCCACCAGGTCGTACCTATATAAATATACCATACATTGCATTTTATTGTTTCATTGTATTTTACCGTGGTGCATTGCATTCATTTTTGTGTCGAAAAAAATATTATTTTTGATATAAAACAAGGATAAATTCGAATCAATAAAATATGGTTTTATTTTAATATGCTTTTTGTGCCCTGTCATGTTCATTTTATAAGTAGAAATGATTAACAAGTCAATAATGAAGCCCTGAACTTTTAATTATGGACATCTGTATTTAATATATACCATTAAAACAAATACTAAACTTACACATAAAACACTTTACCTGTATATTAATCATCAGTACTTTCTTGAACCTTTTGCTATTTTATACATAGTTGATTTCATAGTTGGATTTACGGGGTGACCCGGGTGTGCCTTGGCACACCCTCATGTAAATAATGTGAATAAAAAAATTGAATTATAACAATTAAGAATTTACAAACACATTATTTAAATTTAAGTATTTTTTACCAATCGTTATTTTACATATTAACTTTATTAATTATTTATTATTTATAACCTTTATTTTTAAAATTTAAATCACTACACGGTATACACGTACTTGTTTATTATTATTGTTAAACTATATTCAATGTTATTGTCATCGACATGACAATCTCGGTCTAATAGTGGTTTAATAGTGGTGGTAGTTCACTATTTTTAACAAAAAAATTGCCTTTTTTCGGAAACAGACACAGTGCTGATAATGATGATTAACAAAATAATAATTTTGATATTTCTGATTTTAGTCAACGTGATGTGAATCAAGCAACTCACAGACACTAGTAAAATTATATTACTATCGTTAACTTTGTGTTCAATAATAATTTGAACTTGTTTATAACCTTCCCTTTATATTTAAGTAAAATAACTTTAAAAAATGACAGGGCACACTCTAATGTAAAACTCTGGGTCCGCCTATGGTTTATTTATTTTAGTTTTATCGTTTATTAATAATATGGTCATAATATTATTGAATACATTATATATGTGTTCTACAATTAAGAGTTTGGGGTAAAAATAATTGTCTTTAAAGTTTTGCACGAAAATTGATGAGTGTATACTATTTTATCGTCTGTATATTATATAATTTTATTATATCATATTCAAAACGATATTTTTGTGCCTTTGTTGAGATCGTTTCTAATAATTTAATTAAACATTAACATGTCTTTTAAAGTAAAATTAAATATAATATTATTTATTATTATGGTATTAATATTTATCTATTATATTATGCCATAATATGATAAACACAATTGTGTTAAATCTCAGCATGGTATTATCATCATATTACAACATTTCAATGTAATGTTAAAGTACCGTAGCCTTAAAATAAAATAATATAGGCAAGCACATAAACATAATAATCGAAAAGGTACATTACGATTATCCGGCGGTAGATGGCGCCGTGTTAATTGACCAACATTTAAATTATCACATTTGTATTTTTAATTTTTATGAAACATTAAATATTTAACGTTGTAATTTTCAAGCGTTGGTCTTGGAATATTTTCATACGATAATTGTATGTATAACGTACCACACGGGCAACATAAGCTTAAGATACAATTATCGAAAGAAGTGCTTTCCAAGTTTATGAGCTTTCCTGAGCCGATTCCTCTAGTAATAGATACTCTTACGTCAATAATTGACGTTCACTTATCTCATAATTATTATAAGATAAGTGGATACTCAAATGTATTATTAGCAGTGTTGGGCAAATCGTAATCCGATTGATGATTAAAATTTTTAGTTGTTAATCATAATATAAATTAATGTAATCAATAATCACAATAAAGAATTATTTTAAATGATTAAAGTCATAATGTAATCGTAGTATTGATTACGATTACAAAATATTTTAATTTGTAATCATGACTATTTTTAACGATTAATAATTAATGATGTTTCAATAACGATTTTGGACTGAATAACAAGCATATTTTGAGATAAAAATTTAAAAAAGATACAGTTTATTGATCATTGTAGTGCACTTTATACGTATTATACTTATTGATTATATGTTGCATATTGTAAAAAAACGAATAAATAAGGAGTAAATTTAACAATGATTATAATGTAAGCAATTTTTATATATTATAGACAAAAAATGAAGATTAACAATACAATAACATATTTTTTTTGGAAAAATAACTTTTTAATAATAAACTAAATATAAACATAGAAATTATAATAAATACGGTTTATAAAAATAATAATTATTATGTAATAATAATATAATGATAACAATTATAAATATTGTAAAAATCATAACATTTTTATAATATATTTGCTTTGAATACAATATGTTTCTCAAATAGTTGATCGGATAACTTATGACTTCTTGGTTAATTTATCATTGCTGCAAATGAAAAAAGTCTTTCTACAGGTGCTGACGACGGAAGTGGAGTATTGTATCGAATAAAAACTTGTTTAATAATAGGATAGTTGTTTAGATTATTGAGATTATTTTCTTCATCGGACAAGAAACGTAGAACTTCTAATTCTGATTTTGTTGTACCAATTGATGCCGAAGAAGAAGATCCAAAGTCAAAAAAATCGTCCGATTGATTTATGGGTGTTTTTAATGCACTAATCACGTCATCTGCTGCTTTCTTGAGAATATGAATGAGCCTATCATGATTTTCTGTTTTTACACATGTGAACCAACGTTTTTTAAAACGTGGATATGAATGCTGTTATTGAAGCATTAAGAGCATTGTGTGAAACAAGGTAAGGCGAGGGACCACTTGGTAAGACCAAGAACCAAAAAATTAATTAAATTTATAACATACACCTGAAGTTCACCGTATAGGCAACCTAACGTGCCGTTGCCTGACGGATATAGAATAGGCAACTTAATGTGCACAACGACGACGACGAGGATGGGAGACAGTGACTTAAACTTAACACGGGAATGGGGATATTGAGTTTAGATATAAGGGGGGAGGAGTCTCTGTGGTCGGATCAGTATGGTGCAATGACCACAGAGTTCACACAAAATCGGAAAAAGACCTTACTAACTAAACACTCAAATCACAACTTAAAATACGTGACGACTTTGGTAACTGCAATGGTAACTGGTAACTCTCGAAGGCCGTGGCGGCCTCACACACCACCCAGTGGCTGGCGGACTTACGCAGAGGTGAAGGCGGACACTACCGAAGTGCTTCGACGATGACCAAAATATTGACTGGTCTCACACAATGGAGACACGACGAAGAGGTGACAAAACAAAAGGTGACACGTACTAATAATATTTAAATAACTCACGCAACGCAGATCTGGTTATGGTAATGTTTTGATTTATTTATTATGATTTTTCACTAATAATAATAATAATAATACTAATAAACGTCCGCATTAATTGCGGGACGGCGCGGCGATAAAAGTTCGCGACAACGAAGATTTAGTAGGTATATAAAAAGAGGTGTTGCCTAAATGGCGTACGACAAATGAAATAATAAAAAAACTATAAATGTTTTGTGTCCTAAATGAACGACAAAAAGATCGACAAAAAAAACAATGTGTTGCCTTAGTGGCGAACAGCGAACGACAGACAGAAGAAAAAATAGTAATAAATATAAAATACGTAGTATAATAAAGGGCTATGTTATGTAATAAGTAGAATAATTCACTAATCTGCATAATTCATTAACAAAGATAATACAAAATTAACGAGAGATAATAATAATAAATAAATAAGACAATAATCAACGAACACATACTAATTAAAATCACACAGACGGAAGATTAGGAAGGTGGACACAGATAAGGACAGGTCGACGCCGTCGTGGTTGCAATTATGATAATA